GGTGCCACCCTGTGCAGCGGGGAGGGGCTGCACAGATAGTTGTGCTTTAACAAAATTTAAAAATAGAACTCAATCACACTCATATGAAACGGGAGGCACCATTTTTGCATGGAGAGGAGGGTGCCACCCTGTGCAGCGGGGAGGAGCTGCACAGATAGATTTTTGTTGTTTTTAAACTAATCCAAAAATCTGAAAGTCAACCGCACTCATACACACCAAACGGGAGGCACGTTTTTGGTACGGAGAGGAGGGTGCCACCCTGTGCAGCGGGGAGGGGCTGTGCAGATTTATTTTCAAAAGAGAAGAAGTTTGAACAAAATTTACAAGTCACGTATACATATACCAAAAGGGAGGCGCCATTTTTGTACGGAGAGGAGGGTGCCACCCTGTGCAGCGGGGAGGGGCTGCACAGATAGTTTTTTGGCTGCGCAGGTAGTTCTTTTGCTGTTTATAAACGGATTAACAATAGAAAGTCAAGCACACTCATACAGTTGCATACGCACCAAACGGGAGGCGCCATTTTTGTATGGAGAGGAGGGTGCCACCCTGTGCAGCGGGGAGGGGCTGTGCATATTTTTTGCAAAAGAAAAATATTTAAACACAATTACAAGTCACGCATACATATATACCAAAAGGGAGGCGCCATTTTTGTACGGAGAGGAGGGTGCCACCCTGTGCAGCGGGGAGGGGCTGTGCAGTTTTTTTTACAAAAAAAAATAGAAAACATAAATGCCAGTCATACATATACCAAAAGGGAGGCAGCATTTTTTGTATGGAGAGGAGGTTGCCACCCTGTGCAGCGGGGAGGGGCTGTGCAGATATTCTTCTAATTCTGATAAGGTGGTATACAATACATTGTGAGGTTGGTTTGTTTTTGTTGAGGGTGTGGTTCTTGCGCTTACGTTTTTCTACGTTGTCCGTTCTCTTCTCTCCTTCTGTTTCGTTATAACAGTGGTTGAATAACGCGTTGTGAATTATACAAAGATTCTACCAAAAGGGAGGCGCTGTTTTATCTGGAGAGGAGGGCGCCACCCTGTGCAGCGGGGAGGGGCTGCGCAGATTTTTAAAAACATGTACACCAACTAGCAAAAACACAAAAGGACATTTCCTGTTTTTGGAAAAGTTGATGGTCTGCAAATTAAAAAACCAACTATATATTTTTGTTTTTCGTTGGCGCGTACCAGCGTGGAAAATGAAATCGAACCGTTTATGATGCGTCGCAGCGACCTACTTAACAGACTTACCGCACTTGCCTTAACCATGCTAAGTACACTTAGTAACCTTCCTAAGTGCCACTTAGTAATTGGTATAAGTTAGTTTATGTAAATCTGATAAGTGACTATATCGAACTTGCAATAACATAGTTAAATAGTTACTTAGTTCCATAAGTACTTAACAAGTATCATAACCACTTAGCAACCACCACGGTCATCCAAGCAATCGCATACGCACGTGATGGAATGCCATCTTGATCTAGCGGAAAGGGCCGAACCGCTGATTCTTTCTCCGGCATGTAGGATCCTCAGCGATGCAGTTTCCCTCTGTTAAGATCACCCTTCCACCTCCACTGCAACGAGGTGCTATGTGCTGGAGCGATGAAGGCTACATAGGAAGAATTAGCCGACAAAGCAGACGGACCCACAGCCTGCGTGTGGCGTTTAGCACAATTCGAAAGTCTCTCATTAGCTACAAAACCCAGTGGGACCAAGCATCTCGCAGAGTATAAGACTCGCGGCTAAGAGTTTCACTCACTGCAAAACCCAGTGGAAACCGAGCCTAAGACTCCCGGCGAAAAGCTGCCATCCATAGAAGTGGCGTTGCAGGGACTAGTGTGTGTGTTTGTGTGTGCGTGTGGGGGGTACTTAGTACTTGGACCTTGAAACAAAGCACTCGAGCGCAAATATAACATTCGAGTACTTTTAGTGAAAACGAACACAAATCCACACGAGCACTTATAGGTGCTCTTTTGAAGATCTAGGGATCTTCTATCTGGCAGAGTCTGACATTCTATCTCGCATATATGTGACATTCTATCTGGCAAGGTCCGGCAGCGCCCACTGCGATCGGGCTGGTTCGGCAGCGCCCCCTGCGATCTGGCGCTTGCTGTTGAGGTCAGGTAGTGCCCACTGCGACCTGGCGCTTGCTGTTAGGTCCGGTAGTGCCCACTGCGATCATGCACTTGAAGCTGAGGTATAGCCGGGCCTGCGTACTGCGATCTGGAGCTGACAGTTGAGGTGCGGTAGGCAAGAAGATGAGGAGAGGAGGGGAGGCGAAGAGGAGGAGGAGGAGAAGAGGAGAAGAGGAAGAAGAAGAGCTCTGATAAAATCTAACAGCCCTCACCTGGCAGGTGGGGAATAAATCCTCCAGTCCGCAGTAATGACGTGAACCTTTAAAGAGGGAGTGGTTTGCAACATTGTTTTTTCAGGACGCCAACTAATGCCTGCCACAATCTGCCACGTCTCAGGTTAAGGCGAAGCATTTTCGCAGCGCCATCTGAGGCTTGGTGGGTGTGTCAACTTGTTCACCGGTGAGGGCTAGGTGAAGGCTTGTACAGGTGAGACATGTGCAGGTGGCATGATCCATACATGGTTTTCCTTGAAGCGGAGTGGCTTTGAAGCGGGGTTCATTTCCTTCAAGACAGGATTTTGTATTTTCACATCGTGGGAGCATCTGCAGGGATAGAAAACAAAGCAGGGTTAGAAGATGGAAGGCATCTGGATGATAATTTTGCAGGTCATTGTGCACATAGCACTGCCGGACTCCTGCGCAATGGCAGAGTGGACATATTTCCTTGTGTGTGGACATTTGCAAGAGGGTGTGGTGACCAAAGATATCCGGTGGTTTGAGGGATGTTTCTCTTTCATCAAGAACCACAGGAAGGTTTCATGAAACAGTCGTGGGTGGTGGTTTTTTGATTCGTCCATGTTTGGTCGCAATTTTGTTTCAACAAAATCATAGTTGAACCATGCCATAAATTAATGTGTGCGTTTAGTAATGCGTTTGTCATATGATCGTATACGACGATATATCAACGTGTTGAACAAAACTCATCCAAAACGGTAGTGTTTTGTTCGTTGGACGGTGGAGTTTCTTGCGCGTCCACCGCACGGGCGGGAGTTTTCGCATGAATTTTCCCAGGTCTGAAGATGGTCGTTTCGCCGAAGGGTTTGAGCAGACCTTGATGAGATCTTGGGGAGCGGGGCGATCTTGGGAGGAGCAGACCAAACTAATTGAACAAAATAACATGGATCAGAATCATTAAGACATATGTTTTTTTCTCGGTCGAATCACTGGTTCCCCAAGTATGATTTATGGCAAGCGTTGACACCACTCATTTGACCCTCAACAGTCATGTGCTAGTTTGTGGCTATCTACCCGGACCTCCACTTCGTGACCTCTTTGGAGTCGTTCGTGACCCTCTTATTTGGCACTTTTTGTGACCTCTGTGACAGTCATCGGTCGCTCCTGGTCCGGAAACAACGTTCTCCCACCGCAGCCATTGCTCGGCTGGAACTCGTTGTTGATCCGGGGCAAGACGTCCTCTCGGTCGAAGAGAGAAGAGCACCGGTGGGTGAACGGTCTGGGTTCGGTCGAAGGTCGAAGGACGGGTGTTGGGGGGTCAATGGGGCGGCATATATGGCAGTTGCATGGAGTGTCGGGCTAGTACTCGTACTTTCTACTAGTGTTCACAAAATGTTGGCTATTGCCATTTAGTCATTCTTTTGGTAAAGAAGTCAGTCAGTATGAGTGTGTGTGTGCGTGTTTATATGTCCTGTTGATGCGCACAGTTTTTTGTGGGACCTCCAGCCAGGAAAATTGGGCAACCAGCAGTCCGCGCGGGGTTCTGATGTTAGGTGTTCACTACCACTGGATGGATCTAGAAAGAAGGACACATTTGTTGTGTGCCTTCTACGTTGAAGCACGGGCAGAAGACTGGATCCGCATGCTCCCTGAGAAGGTGATTGAAGACGCTTTTATGCATGCACCAGGAGGGTCCAGTCGTACCTTCGTTTCGAAGGTGGCAGTGGATCCCTAGGGTGGAGGCCATCGCTATTGGATTGAAGGCCATTGCTTGTAGGTTGGGGATTGGACAAGATCTGTGGTTTGAGTCGGGCCCCCCTATTCTCCCTGACCATCCCCAAGAGATCTCGTGGTCAAGATGTCCATCAATCATATGAAGATGGGATGTGCTTGGTTCCTTGGCGAAGCACTGTGCACTGGGTGAGGAGAATAGACTGACTGAACTACCTGGGAGGTCAACCTACCCTGGTGCAAGGGGCTCCAGGTTTTGACCAGTGGGTAAGCCCGGCACATATGCAGCTTAGCTTCCTTCAATGAGGACTATCGCCTCCATTCTGGTGAAGTAACTTGCTTTATCACTGAACTTACCAATGTCTCCGCACCACACATTGCCACTTTTTGCCCAACATGTTTGTGCGAATAGGATCATGGCCATGGTAGGATCAATGTTTGTCAGGGGCCAGTCTATTATGTCAAACACCCCTCCTGTTCTGGCTGTCCAGGTTTGCAACCGGGATCACGTGGTGAGGTTCCACCACGGCGCCTCTGAGGCCATGGGTCTGAGCGACAAGCTCCGCCTTGACACCACGCTCGAGGAGATTGCGCCCTCGTGGCGCGGTGAGTAAAAAGAGGGCGGGGAGGTGAGTTTGAGGCGGTGAGTTCGCAGCTTTTGGGGGAAAGAAAGGTTGGTCAGACTGGTGATCTCTTTTGAATGTGGTTTTTTGAACATTGAGGAAAGATACAAGCTGGAAAGACTCTATGCTGTACAGTTCATCAACTGATTGATTGTTGACAATTTTCCCATCAGAGTGACCCTCAGAAATACCCTCCCACTCAAGCAGTCGTCACCAAGGACACCTGAATGTTTCCTGATGTAATCTCAAAACAGTCTCAACATTAGCCTGCCAGGTCTGACACGACGAACAGCATTTATTGTGCCTAGAAAGCAAGCTATAGAAGCTTCATTGGACCTTTAGTTCATTATCTTGGGTGGATCCTCTTTAGTATGCCTGCATGCCTTACAAGTTCTTGCCCACAAGAAACGGAGATGAGTCAAATTTAATTGAATTGGATCTTTGACTTTGGTACTTTGTGTCAGCAACTAGGCAGAGCTTGGCGGGCTAGATGGGCAGCAAGACATGTTCCAATCTTCAAGGTGTCCTGTAAAGAGCTGATTCAACATATCTCCCACACAGTTCAAGCTGACCCAAATGCTCACCATCCCAACGCTCAAAATGATTTCAACCGGTTCAGTCTCAGCCGGTTCAGTGGAAGAGGACGTCAAGAGAAGTCAAGAGGATGTCTACAAACTGCCATATCTCTGTCGAATGTCACACAAACCCTCAAACAGACTGTCCCAAAGTCGTCCGAAACGCTGGAATTTTGGTCCGACACGGGCAGCAAACATTCTCCAGAAATCCCCCTGGTCGGCAAATATGCCATGCCCCTCGCTTCGGACTTGGCTCGCCGTTTCTTTTGTTTGTGTTTAATTAAGAAGACCTACTTGTAGCGATGTCCCCGATGTGCCCATTTTGGGGTCATGACCGGACCGAACAGAAGCATCGACCACACACCGGACGCCAGCGCTTCGCCGGGAAATCCCGGCTGTACAGGTCACCTTTGCAGCTGTGTTGCTGTGCATGTTGCTCCGTCTTCTGGTTCGTGTTGATCATCTTGCAACTTGACGCAGCGCTTCGCAGTTTCGCACTCATGCCACCCAATCTTCGAGCTGGGTGAATTGAAGGTGCATTCCTTTTTTCGGGAACCACGGGGGAAGGTGTGGGCATCCTGGGGAAGGTCCACATTTCGCTCCGGGTGAACTCCTGATTTGCTGAGTGGCATGGTCCATATATCCATTCAACGCAAGACCAGGGACCCAGGGACCTTCGCTTCTCAAGGTCTGGCTGAGCAGTTCATCGTGATGGGTGAGCAGTTCATGGGTACCTGGGTACCCATCACAGATTTTATCCACCAAGTCACAGGTGAAAACCATGCTGCCCCGAACTCGCACTCCGAACTCGTACCTGTTTGGGCCGAAGCCGCGTCGCTCCGGACGACGCTCGACCGCGCCGTTCGGTCCGGGGTCGCAGAAACCGGTGAGCGCGGAGCGGTTCGGTCAGTGAGTAGCTCCTGGCTAGCAAGAAGCTGAAGAAGCTATACCAGGACCCTCCTGTCGGGGTGCCCTGTCTGGAAGTCTAGGCCGGTAGTGTGGGGTAGTCCAGCCAGGACACCCCTTGGAGGAGGGTCCAGGTACATAGCTATACTATTCTTGCTAATGTAGCGCCCAATTCGAGGAGATCACCCATGGTGTTCAGATCTGGTTTTCTTTTTAGCCGGTCCATGGTGGCGCTATAAATGACCTACATCCACCAGCCTTCAAGCCATCAAGCTAAGGGCAATATTTGCGCCACCATGGATCGTTTGGGTTTATGTTCAACCTTTACCTGGGATGAATGATGAGTTCAAACCACCAACCAAGAGAACGTGAGTTCTTACCATTCCTGGTAACCACGTGCGAGCTCCGTTGGTCGCCGGAAACGGTGTCTTTTCTTGACGCATTGGTGCTGGAGAATGTGTGACGACAGGAACGGTCCCTTTCATCGGCTGGGACTGGAGACCCCTCGGAGGCAGACGCCACGGGCTCTGAAACTTCCAAGGAGACAACAGTTGATGCAACTCGAACGGATCAAGTTGCTTCGGTTCACCCAATACAACTGCCCAGACGCTCCGTGAACCATCCGGCCTTGTTTCGGATCCCTGAACCCATCCCTCCGGACACCCCAATCGGCCCAGTCCGGGTGGGGTGTTTTGGGCGGGTCTGTTGGCCGCGAACCTGGTCGGGTCGTGAAGCGGGTTTCAGATGGGTTCAGGCCTGCAGCTGAAGCATCATCCACTGGGCCCTGGTAATGGGGGATATACCCATTATGAATCATGCTGAAACTCACAGCAACTCAACAGCCTAGAACTCTTAAGAAGAGCTCAAAGAGTGCGGCAACTCAAGTGATGCTTCAGCGGACTTCGTCCTTTTGAGACCCTGGGCAACTGAAGTGATGCTTCCGGCAGCTGCAAACGTCGTGAGGTTTATTCCTGTGAGCTTCATTGAAGTCACGCGGCTCCACTTCGGCTTGTCCACGAACACAGCGCCTGAGCGATTTGTTTGTGCGTCGGACCCGGACCGGGGACTCTATAGAGGTGACAGGTTTGATCAACGAGATCCATGTGTTTGATTTGATCAGTTGGTATAGGGTAATTAGTTGTATAGGTCAATATTCCAGTCCCATGGATGGTCTGGGTATGATGACACACATTAAGAGTTTATAAAGAAGCGGTTCATAAAGCTTGATTTATTGACTTTAGCAAGAGTCTACATTGATGACTGGCCATGGATTTGTGATTTGCACATCCCCACAAACATCCGAGAAGGTGGCTGTGGGTCAGACTAAGCTCCGTGTGGGTCTGGGTAGGTTGACCTGACTCA